ACGGCAAAGTAAGTCTTTTCCATCGATATGTATTACAACAGCGCAAGAAACATGGCTATGCGTTAAGTCAGATCGGAAATATGGATGAAACTCCTATGAATTTTGATATGGTTGGAAATAAAACTGTTAATCCAAAAGGTGCAAAAACAGTGTTAATTAAAACAACAGGACATGAGAAGTCCAGTTTTACAGTGGTACTAGCATGTACAGCTGATGGCGCCAAACTAAGACCAATGATTATTTTTAAAAGAAAAACAATGCCGAAAATCAAGTTCCCTGTTGGAGTTTTTGTACATGTGAATGAAAAAGGCTGGATGGATGAAGAAGGGGTAAAGCTATGGCTTGATAATGTATGGAGTAGGCGACCAGGTGGACTTCGTCAAGAACGTAGCCTACTGGTGTGGGATATGTTCAGGGCTCATTTAACTACCAGCACAAAGAAAAGGCTGGCAAGAATAAACACAGATGCGGCAGTTATTCCTGCAGGATTGACATCATTGGTACAGCCACTGGATGTGTGCCTAAACAAGTCATTTAAAGATCGCATTCGAGAACAGTGGAATGAGTGGATGGTTAGTGGCGAAAAGTCATTCACAAAAGGAGGAAACATGCGTGCGCCACAATTGGATGTTTTGTGTAATTTTGTCATAAAAGCCTGGAATGATATTGGTGCAGAAACAGTAATCAAGTCTTTCAAGAAGTGTGGCATATCAAATTCTTTGGATGGTATGGAGGACGACTTCTTGTGGCAAGATGAAGGGGAAGCCAAAGCTGAAGCCACACCATCCGATTCGGAATTAGATCCATATGATGACTGTCTTACAAATGTACCACAAGATGTCATTGATGAACTTATGATGTCAGAGGATGAACATGATGAGGATTTTGAAGGATTTTAAGTACCTGCAAGTCAAAACCATTTTAATTAAAATGATTTAAATCAAATCTGATGTTATTAAATGGTGTTGCCTCAGAAGGGGGGGTAGTCTTATACGGTGAGTATAGGCCAAAACCTATGTTTTAACTGGAAAATTAGGGGGTCGTCTTATACACCCAGTCGTCTTATACACCGGAAAATACGGTATTGTGTCCAGTTCTGGGCACGGCATTTCAAGAAAGATGTGGAGAAATTGGAGAGGGTCCACAGAAGAGCAACGAGCATGATTAAAGGTCTAGAGAACATGACCTATGAGGGAAGGCTGAAGGAATTGGGTTTGTTTAGTTTAGAAAAGAGAAGATCGAGGGGGACATGATAAAATGTTAATGTGATACTGGGATCTTAATCTATTCCTGTTTTACGTAATGTGAGTTGGTTTATTTTTAATTACATGGACAAGTTAATTTGCTCCTCTTAGGCACAGAGCTGTTCGATAAGACCATTCTAGCTCGCATTTCATTGATGAAGATTCTGCAATTGCAACTTTAGCAATAGCAAAGTCAGTCATTTGGATTTTCACATCCAGGCCTGCAAATAGTCTGAGAAGGTAGTTTTTACACTTATTAAATTAGCTATTTCTCAACTCACCCGAAGACAGAATTATGGATGCACCAATGATTTTTTTTGCAGCCCCTTTTAAGACAAACTGTACTTTTTAAAAAAAAAACATACACTAATCAGCCCCAATAAAGAGGATTACAAAGCTTCAAGTTTGCCTCTTCCCAGTAAGTCACAAGATTAAGCAAGACAATCCCATGAAGTCTTGCATTTATCTTTAACTCAAACTTGTTGACCACCTGTCACATACATATTAATATCTATTTAAGAGACACGCCAATATATTATATTTTCAGTTGGCAACATCACACGAGAAACAGTGGTCCCACTAATATTTTATGTCCTGTGCAGAATGACTTTTGTTATGTATCACTGGTGCACATAACAAGGCATTCTGCACATGGCCCTGCTCCCACCACACACTGTCCAAGAGCTTGGACTGTGGGAAGAGGCTCAGCATGGGGGCAGAGGGCTGGGGTGCAAGAGGATGAGGGCTTGGGATGCAGGCTACTCCCAGGCAAGAGGATGCCCCACAACACTCTACCCAGGCCACCCTGAACCCCTGCATGGGGCTTAATAGGTAGCTGTGTGGCAGCATCTTAGAGGGAACTTAGGGCACATCTACACAGCAGGGCAGAAGCCAAATTAAGAGATGCAACTTCAGCTACATCAATTGGGTACCTGAAGTCAAATATCTTAATTCAGCTTGTGATGCTTTCTACACAGCAGAAAGTCAAAGGAAGAACACTCTTCCTTCAACTTCCCTTACTCCTAGTAAAATAAGGGAATAAGAAGTGCTCTATCTTGACATTATTCTGAAATAATAGCTTGCTGTGTAGATGTGCATTTTGTTATTTTGAAATAGTGTCAGTTATTCCAAAATAACACTACTATGGAGACGTACCCTTAGATGAGCAATTTAAAAACAAAAAAACCTACCTTAGCTGCTGTGATGTTCAACTCTCTCAGCTGAGCTTTTAAGTCAGAGTTCATCTCCAACTCCAGAAGAGCCTACAAAGAAAAGTCAGAACAATTTTGATTACTGACAAGTCTAAGTTGCTCTCTCTTTTCAGTCATTTAATCTTCCCATTCATATGCACTAATCTGCTTTAAAAAACCACTATGAAGTCATTATAGGACTGTACAAGTAAAATTGTTTCTAGGCATAAAACTTATCCATGGAGTAAGGCACAATTAACCTTCACCACTGAATGTATACATCATTCACTGTGTCCCTATAGCTCCCTCTGAAGTATAAGGTGTTTAGTTTAGGGATGCAATAGTGTAGTCAGTTAACCAAAAAGCAAAAGCTTATAGGTTAATGTTATAGACTATGTGCATTCCCCCCCATCAAGTAAATTTTTTAGCAGGCTGGCCAGCAGCACGGCTCAATCCTGGCTTGTGCGATGCCTGGGACTTAAAACTTCGGCTCTGCATTTGAAGTGTATTGGGAGCTAGGTGGGCAGGCAGCCCAGCTCAGTTCTGGCTCTCATCAGGTTCTGGAGCTCAACCTCTCCCCCCGGCCCAGGGGCTGCTGCCTTTGTATCAGAGGCAGAAGCACAGGGTGACAGGCAGCAGGTCAGCATGGGGTTTTTAAACTGGCTCCCCTTGCAGACCAGCTCCTGCCTGGCACCCCCATGCTGCTGCCTCTGATAGAGGAGTGGCAGGGGCTCCTCAGGAACAGGCTGGAGAGCACTGGCTGTCAGCCCTGCGCCTGGGTACTTCAGAATAGTTAAGCAATAGAAGAGAACTCATGATGGTTATTCGACTATTCAATTAACCGATATGTAACATCCCTGGTCTGTACAGAAAACAAAAGACTTCAAACTCCTACAGTCCTTAAAAAACAGATTTATTCAGGCAGTTAACCTCACTCCTGAAACAAAAGACCATTAGTTTTTCTAGTTGAAAGTTATTAAATGACAGTGTGGGTAAGCAGACCTACCTGAGAAATACCAGACTCAAATTCATCTGGCTTCTCGCCATTGGGCTTCACAATCTTCGCGCTAGAACTGAACATGGCCTTTCTACAACCCAAAGAACAGAAATATTTAAAAGATTGTCAGCAGAAACGTGACTGTTAGCCATAAGGCAGAGCCAAGAGCTTTTAGTTAACTGGACACGGCAGTGATTTAGCCCCTTCATCCCTCTCACTAAGCAACTCATCTTCGGGTCAAGTGTGAGGGGAGAAGCTTCACAAGCGGCGCACAACTGGACAGACCCAGATCAGTTACCTGGGAAAGAGCGAGCACTGGAGTCACGGAGGTCCGAGACCTTTGGGAACAGGCTGTCCCAGAAGCCTGCCACGCCGCGCTGCAGGGCCGGCGGG